CTTGGCCTGCTGTGTTCATCCAGCTCTACACCTTGTTATCTCAGATTTTCCAGCATCTGCAGTTCCTACTGTCTCCAGGACTAGAGAGCATAGGTTTAAGGTGAGAGGAGAAAGATTTTAAAGGGGTCTAAGGGGCAACTTTTTCACGCAGAGGGTGGTGCGTGTATGGAATGAACTGCCGGAGGAGGTGGTGGAGGTTGGTACAATTACAACATTTAAAAGGCACCTGGATGGGTACATGAATGGGAAGGGTTTAGAGGGATATGGGCCAAATGCTGACAAGTGGGACTAGATTAATTTAGGATATCTGGTCAGCGTGGACAAGTTGGACCGAAGAGTCTGTTTCCTGGTGTATAGCTCTATGACTGTGATGGTTTCTGAAGTTTCTGAACTCCTTTTTTTCTGCTTTTATTTTTTATATACGCTTTATCAACTGGAATGCTGTTTTGTGCAGGAAGAAAACAGAGAATGTTAAATACACGTACAGCAGTGATTCTGAAAAGGATGAAGAATGTATCTCCACAAAAAAGAAAGGCAAGTCTGTGAGCACAGATCCATTTCATTCTCTAAATCTATTGGCCTTGTTTGTCAGGGCCCTAACTAAATGATTTAACCAACATGAACAACAGATTATTTGGTCACTTTGTTGTTAACAGTGGGGCTATGCTGTGTGTAGTTTACTGTTTTCTGTTGTAGATTTTTATTCCCACTTTCCCCGATCTGTCGGGTTTACTCTCGATATCACTAACCCCAGGTAGTTCTAACAACGGAATATATCCTGTATTGTTTATTGAAGCAAAGTACACTACAAAAGACACTGCATTATGCTTATCTGTACAGTGCTGATAATCCCACCTGAAGCCTTTTACATGGATTTAGAGTCGTAGAGGTATACAGCATGGAAACAGACCACAGAGCCCTACACCTCCACGCTGAGAGGTTACTAAACTGAACTAGTCCCATTTGCCTGCGTTTGGCCCATATCCCTCTAAACTGTTCCTATCCATGGTACCTGTCAGGTGATCAGCTTACTCTGTCTCAAATCCCAGCTGTTGATCTGACCACTTCCTCAGCACTTCCTAGTTTTGCTGTGAGGCATTTTTTAAAAAAAAGTTCTCATTCTGTGCAAAGAAGTTATGTATCCAAACCTTGCACTATCCAGTCTCCGGCAAGTCATCAGTTTGACCACTGGCAAATATCACAAACATGTCATCTACCACGGCCAGTTTAATTAATTAAGTAGGATTTTCTTGTCGTTCCTTGGAAAGAGTTTTTTCTGTTGTTCTAATGAACTTTGGCTTTAACTTTTAACCACTTTAATGTCATCCAGTCGACCATATGGTATTTACACAGCACAATTCCATAACCATCACAGATTCAGCTGATAACTAGACACAGTATCACATCTGATTCATTTCCAGAGATTCTGTGACCATTCAGTCCATTCCTGCTGAGTTATAGTGCTTGATGTTAAATCACGTTCATAGAATCAAAGAGCCATAGAGCTTGGAGGCCGACCCTTTGGTCCATTCCTTCAGCAAAACACAGAAACAGTTTAAAACCAATGACCTTTTGAATCATTATGTCATCATGAGCCTTCTTACATTTTCTCCTCATTTAATTTGATTTTTATTTATCTTCATTTGGCTCAGCCAGCAAATTTTAGGCGAACAGCCCCACTGTGTTACAACAGCATTACAGCAGCGCCTGTTAAAGTACTTAATTTACTGTACATTGTATTTTGAAACATCTGAGGTTATGAAAGGCACTCGTTAAGTGTTGCAAGCTCTTTCAAAAGTTGTGGCTTTTGTTTTTGCAGTGAAAACGCAACAGAAAAGTGCAACGGCTAAGAGAACGGAATGGAGACCCACGAGTAGCGGGAGAAAAGGTGAATCATTCAAAGTACAGTCTGATTAAAAGAGGATATTTTGCACATATTCATTGAAAATAATATCTCTTGTCGGAAAGTAAATTCTAAAGAGGGTAGTTCACTCTCTCTGTTTGGCCAAGGTTTGAGAGCCATTGAGCCTATAGCACAGAAGAAGGCCCTTCGGCCCATCAAATCTCTGCCAGTCAAAAGCAAACATAGAATCCCTACAGTGTGGAAACAGGCCCTTCGGCACAACAAGTCCACACCGACCCTCAGAGCATCCCAGCCAGACCCATCCCCCTATAACCCACCTAATCTACACATCCCTGAACACTATGGGCAATTTATGACTGCCAATCCACCTATCTTGCACATCTTTGGACTGTGGGAGGAAACCAGAGCATCCGGAGGAAACCCACGCAGAGACGGGGAGAATGTGCAAACTCCACACAGACAGTTGCCCGAGGGGGAATCGAACCCATGCCCCTGGCGCTGTGAGGCAGCAGCGCTAACCACTGAGCCACCGTGCCCCCCTCAGTGTCCCTCTTCATCCAGGGTTCATTGGATTTGTTGGTCCCACCTTTTATCTTTATCTTTATTGGAAGTTGTGAGAAGTATAAACCTGTTTTCATTCCTGGGGATAGGACCATCCTCAGGGTGTCTATTGCTGACCGCTACTTATCCTGAGAAGGTAGTGCTGAGCTGTCACCTTGCATTGCTGTGGTATATATTGTGGGTCCTGTAGGTGGACCAGGAACTGAAAGCTGGAAACTTACAGCAGCTCACTGGGTAGAATCTTCCCAGCCCCTGAAAGGATGTGGACACTGGAGGCTCAGTTGGTAAAGGGCACTCTGATTGGTGGGAACAGAGCAATGGGATACTCAACACTGAGGGGGAGACAAAAGTCCAGATTTTCCACCCAAGGTTTTAACAGTGAGACGGGAATCTTGCTAACCCATGGTGAGTGACCCATTTGCACGTATTAACATCTCCTGATTAGCTAATCTCCCCTCATTAGTATGATGTTTGCCATTTTAACAAGCAGTGGAGAGAAACCAGATGATGACAGTTCCCAAAATGAAAGCTGAAGCAGGTACCTGTCACTCCAGCGTACTCCTTCAGCTATCCACCCTGCACAGTATTCCCCAACATCTTTAAGGCACGCTCCATGACCCACAGCCTCCTGCAGTCTGCACTCACAAGGTTGGCATTGGCAAAGTACCAGCCTCGCCATGTCACCAGGGCAAATTGAGGGCTCTGTTCTGATACATTTCAGCACTTTGGAGCTCACTGACCCATTCCAATGCCACACTTCTGCCAGGAGCAGGCCACCTGTCTCATGAATTGGAACTGGGTGTTTCGCTGGACTCTTAGCAACTCACTTTGTGCCTGTTCACTTTGGATGCTCACAACATCGCTTTTTATCTCGGGCAGGAGGCCTGGCAGCTTGTCGTGTTTGACAGCAATGAGTAGTCAGTCTCGGTGCTGGTCATTTGCCAGTCAGAAAGGGTGGCTCCTGGAGGAAACAGGGAGTGCCAAAGGCAGGACGGGTTAGTAGATAGGCGGTGGTGGCGATGGTGGTGGTGGGTTGGTGGGTGGATGAGGTGGTGGGGGCCATTGGATTAGTTGAGAACCATAGAGGGAAGATGCTGCATGCAGTATTGAGCATGAGCCTTGCTGGGCCATAGGTGCAGCAGCAGAGTCAGAATGAATGTGAGGTTGCAGAGAGAAGATGGTGGGGAGCACCTACCCCTGTGGTAGTGTTTAAAAGACATTTGGACAGATACATGAATAGGAAAGGCTTAGAGGGATATGGGCCAACTGCAGGCAAATGGGACGAGATTTATCTAGGATATCTGGAAGTGCAAATATCTGGAAAGTCTTTAACTACCTTGTGTGCTTCTCAAAACTATGGACATCGCACTGATGGTGGCTACTCAGACCAGACCAGCAGTGTTTGGTACAGTATGCAGCAGACAGTTGGTCATACAGCACAGAAACAAACCTTTCATTTCAACTCGTCCATGCTGACCAGATATCCTAGATAACTCTAGTCTCATTTGCCTGCATTTGGCCCATTTCCCTCTAAGGCTTTCCTATTCATGTATCTGTCCAAGTGTCTTTTACCAGCCTCCACCACTTCCTCTGGTAGTTCATTCTGTACAGACACCACCCTCTGTGTGAAAACATTGCCCCTAAACCCCTTTTAAATCTTTCCCTCCTCACCCTAAACCTATTCCCTCTAGTTTTGGACTATCCTACCCCGGGAAAAAAGACTTTGGCTATCCGCATTATCTGTACCCCTCATGATTTTATAAACCTCTGTAAGGTCACTTCTCAGCCTCCGATGCTCCAGTGGAAAAGTCCCAGCCTGTCCAGCCTTCCTTTATAACTCAAACCCTCCAGTCCCAGTAACATCTTGTGAATCTTTTCTGCACCCTTTCCAGTTTAATAACTTCCTTGCTATAGCAGGGTGACCAGAATTGTGCACGGTACACCAGAAGGTCCTGAACCAAGGAACCTTTCATTGTTGGCGGATGTAAAAGCAGCTCTGTGGGTGTCTGATAAATGCTATTGAGGTGAGAGTGGGAATTGCATGAGGTAAGTCACAGGAGCTCATAGTAGAGGAAGTCCCCATGACACTCCCCAAGTTTGACTCTCGGCTGATTTCTGGCAAAATTCAGCCCATTCGATGTATTTTTCAATCCTGTTAATGTCACTCATAAGCACTGGACTTGAAACGTTAACCCCGCTTTGTCTCCACAGATGCTGCCAACCAGCCGGGTTTCTCCAGCATTGTCTGATTTTGTTAATGGCAGTCACAGATTTGATTACATGGTTGTTTTGGGATATGTAGTTTTTTTTTGTTGGCTATAATTTACAAAATACTGCATAAAGTAGACTTGGAGAAGATGTTTCCACTAATAGGAGAGACTAGGACCCCAGGGCACAGTCTCAGTGAAGAGACGACCCTTTAGAACTGAGATGAGGAGGAATTTTTTCAGCCAGAGGGTGGTGTATCTGTCATTGAGTGTATTTAAGTCAGAGATAGATAGATCTTGATTAGGAAGGGAATCAAGGTTTTGGGGAGAATGCAGAAGAACGGTGTTGAGAAACATCAGATTCAGATTCAGTTCTGCTCCTGTATCTTGTGGTCTGATGGCTTTACTTTAGAGGGATGTGCTAGAGCAGATGGCTTCCTTGTAAACTGAAATCCCTTTTTATTGTTGAAAGAATATTTGGGAAAAAGAATGAAATAACCGGTCTCCTTGTAATAACTGCTTGTTGTAGTTTAAATGTAATATTTTTAAAATTTGCTCGGTATTACAGACAGCAAGTCGCAGTCTGGTTGTGGCCTAATGGAGGATATTGATTTTGCGGCTGCTCTTGGTGGCGGGTCAAGTTCCACTTTAAAAAAGATCAAGAAAGGTAATATTTTATTTGTGGGGGTAACTTGCGTTTATTTTTATCATCCTTTTCTTGACAATTCTTTAGTTGTGTGTAAATTACTACAAACTACCTTTAATTCAGCTACTCGTTAAGAAAGCTCGCAATCAAATACTGAAACAATTATTTAAACTTTACTGCATAAAGCAGCAAAATAAGACCTCTCCAGTAAGCAAGTTAAGCCTCGTAACCTAGTTTAGCTATTACCTGATTAATGGTAGAATTTAGCCACGATCCTAACGTACAATGTCTTGTCTTTGAATATGTCGGGTTTCAATTAATGTGCAGAGTGTTTCTACAGATTTCTGCTGCTGAAGCTGAATTCTTAAAGGATTTTCTGTCATGTTAAACTCTGGTGTGATATTATTTCTGATACTTCTAAAGTCTGTAGCTTGCTTGCTTTTTGGGAGCGAAAACCAGCTGTCCTCAACCTACTTCACCGTTCCTTGTTACGTTCGATGTTTGTTTTCTGCTCAAAACATGACCTGTCCTGCCATTAATTCCTTAAATTCTTCTGCAAGAATCCCTACAGTTTGGAAGCAGGCCATTCGGTCCACTGAGTCCACACCGATCCTCTGAATAGCATTCCAGTCAGACCCAGCCCCCTACCCTATCCCTATCAACCGTGGCTAATCGACCTAAGCCTCACATCCCTAGATGTGCAAATCCACCCTAACGTGCACATGTTTGGACTGTGGGAGGAAACCGGAGCACCCGGAGGAAACCCACACAGACACGGGGAGAATGTGCAAACTCCTCACAGATGGCCGCCCGAGGGTGGAATCGAACCTGAGTCCCTGGAGCAGTGAGGCAGCGGTGCTAATCACAAGTCACCGGGCATACTGGTGTAAGGCAGCGGTTGTTAAAACAGTTTTTTTTTGTGGAGCTTTTGACTCCTCTGTTTCCTAGGCATGGCGAATTGGCGTATTGCTTTTAAATCCTTGTCCCTTTCATCTCGGGAAGCAGTTTATTATTGAAAGAGTTATTGCTGATTCTTTTAATCCATGAACAGTTACTAAAGTTCTGCAGTCTACTTTGTCACCCTTTCTTCACCTTTTAAACTGGAGTTGCTGAGTAATGGCTGCCCCTTGTCTGAAGACTCTGACTTACTCCTGGACAAGAAAGAAGAGAAGGTCACTTGGCTTTTCCAGCCTGCCTCACCATTCAATAAGATCCTGCCTGATCTGATTTTAACCTCAACTCTACATTCCTGATAATCTTCCATCCCCTTGGTCATCACCAATCTATCCACACAACAGGTTCTGAGGAGGGGTCACTGGACCCGAAACGTTAACTCTGTTTATTCCTTCACAGATGCTGCCAGACCTGCTGAGCTTTTCCAGCAACTTTGTTTTTGTTCCTGATTTGCAGCATCCGCAGCTCTTTCGGTTTTTATTACGAATCTGTCCACCTCTGCCTTAAAAGTATTTAGAGAGACGGCTATAATCTCGCACCTGCCCAGTTAGAGTTGTGCCTTAAGTCCCTGCTCCGTGAGACTGGGTGTGGAGAATGAGTATTGCGCAGTTCTTTATCACACATGGCAAAGACTGGATTTGTGATACTCTTCTGCCATTTGTTCTGGAGTTTGGAAATAGTAAATGTACCAGTGAGTACACGTTTGCTTTCTCCACTCATTCCTTCAGCCCTAGAATTGTTGCACAGTGTGTCCTCCCTCTTGTCTACATCCTTGAGAGTATTCCTTTAATTCTTTCCTTCCCAAAGTCTCCAAGTGATGAGACTGCAGAGATGCCCATGTTTCCTTATAATGCTACTGTAAAGCATGTCATCAGCTGTTAGGGGGAGACAGTGACATGATGGTACAGGTGGCCCTGATTTATGAACACTAATGCTCATGAATGAGCATCCATATTCCTATTAAATTTAAGGATCTGACATGCGATCGTTTAGTTGTATTATGTTCCGACTTGCATACAAACCGACTGGCAAACTCACTGAGGAACGGAAACCGTTCATAATCCAGGGACAGCATTGTGGCTCAGTGGTTCACACTGCTGCCTCACAGCGCCAGGGATCCAGGTTCAGTTCCACCTTCGCGTAACTCTTCCCGTGTCTGTGTGGGTTTCCTTTCGGTGCTCTGGTTTCCTCCCACGTACCAAAGATGTGCAGATTAGGTGGTTTGGCCCTGGGAAATTGCCCATAGTGTCCAGGTATGTGTAGGCCAGTTAGGTTAGCCATGTGAAATACAGGGTTACAGGGATAGGGTAGGGGGCTAGGGTAGCCTGGGTGGGATGCTCTTTGAAGGGTCAGTGTGGACTTGTTGGGCCGAATGGCCTGTGAAGGGATTCTTTAGATGGCTTGTAATTCACTAGACTGGTAACACAGAGGCCTAGGTTAATGATGTAATGTTCAAACCCTATGATGTCATCTGGTGGGATCTAAATCTGTTTCATACAAACATTGAATTGAAAGCTGGTCTAAGTCACGCTGACCACGAGACTATTATTGATTGTCGTCATAACCCGTCTTGTTTGCTCGTGCCCTTTCAGACCAACCTTAATCTGGTCTGACTTGCATGTGGCTCCAGTCTAGAGTAGCATGTTTGGCACTTAACAACCTCCTGAGAGTACCTGGCCAGTCATTTAGTTATATTTAACAACATGGTACATTTATCAGTTCCCTGAGGGCAACTAGTGATGGATAATGGGTGTTGGCATTGACGGCATCGTTTGAAAGAGCAAATAAAATGGAAACATACAGCACAGAAAGAGGCGTGTTTAGCCCCTCATGACTGTGCTAGCTACTTTTTTTTAATTCATTTATGGGATGAGGGTGTCGCTGGCTAGGCCAACCTTAATACCCATCCCTAATAGAGCACTTAAGAGTCAACCATATTGCTGTGGGACTGGAGTCACTGTAGGCCAGACCACATAAGGACAGCAGTTTCTTTGCCTGAAGGACATTAGTGAACCAGATGGGTTTTTCCCAACAATTGACAATGGATTCATGATCATCGGTAAACTCTTAATTCCAGATTGTTTTAAAATTGAATTCCATCATCTGCCGTGGCAGGATTCGAACTCAGATCCTTAGAGTATTCGCTGGGTCTCTGGATTAACAGTTCAGCAATAATATAAGTAGGCCATCACTTCTCCCAATTATTCACTTGGTTGCAAATCCCCTGACTCTAAGAATTTTTAGTTCTATCCAATTCGCATTGAAAATTACTATTTAAATCTGTGATTTGCCATCTTTTCAGGCAGTGCGTTCTAGATCCTAACTCGCCACGTAAAATAAAGGATCCTCTTGAGTCTTTTTTTTCCTCCACTCCATATCCTTTTGCAACCTCACTGGAATGTGTTATTTTCCTTTGTAGATTTCCTACAAGCCTCATGTTACAATATTCTCAATATTGCTGATATTCTCAATTATGATGGGACAAAGTCTCAGAAGAAAAGTTAACATGCAATATTTTTGGTACCTTTAGATGGGGCTAGTGGAGCATTCACAAATTCCATGTTCCAATACCCCATGTGTTCCTGCATTTCTAAAGTGCACTTAATAAGCAGCAAGATGTATTTAAGTCCTTAGACTGAGGATGACAATACAGTGAATGTTGAGCTATGGGGTTGAGTGAAGATTGATGGTCAGGGTAGGAGATTGAATGAATGAGTGTCAAGGATGCTTTAGAAACAAGGTGACAAAGTGGAACGAACTGGTCAGGTTATAAAGCCATAGTTTTATAATGAATACTCAACGATGTCTGGTAACAGAAAATTGCTGTTGGACAGAAATGTTGCTGTCTTTTTAAGCCTTTTTTTTTCAAAATCTTCAGTTTAATTCATATGACACTTTAAAATAGTAAAATGTTGTAAGGTGCCTCAGAGCAGTTGTTGAGCAAAAATCAACAGCGTGCTACATAATAAAATATTAGGGCAAGTGACGAGAAGCTTGGTTAAAGAGGTAGATTTTAAGGCTGTTTAAGAATAGAGGAGATTAATTCCAAAGGTTGAAGCCCAGGCAGCTAAAGGGAAGGCCATCAAACCCAAGTAATGATAAAATTATTTTATGCTGAATCTGCTTCCTAATTTATATATGTCATCAGACTTAAAAAACTAGTTTGTTAAAATGTATTCTAATGTTTTAAAAGAAAGTACTGGAAACACTCAGTAGCTTAGGCAGCATATGTACAGAGAGAAAGTTACTCATGTTTTCAGTTCAAAAACTGTTCACACTTATGGCTTTTGAAATTTGTTGTTGTGTTTGATCATGCTAAAGCCTGTTTTTATGTTGCCTCTCTTTCCTGAACTCTGAAGGAAGCCCATCAGCTTGAAATGCTCGCCCTACTTCCTCTCTCCAGTGGATGCTTTCTGACTTGCTAAGCATTCTTTCAGATTTTCAGCACTCCCAGTATTTCAATTTTGTCTGTTTTTTAGGCTGTCCAAGCACACAGACTAGCACTATTACAGCGGCTAATATAAAGGCGAGATCGACCCTGATTGTTTGTCCTCTCTCTGTGCTCAGTAACTGGATTGTAAGTACACAGCGGCAAGTTTGAATCTCTCCCTACAAATTTGGTTGACGTCTCTGTCAATTTCTTCCTTTTATTGTAACCAGTCCAGAAGGGACAATGACCGAACAATTGAAATAACTTGAAGTGCAAATCTATCTTTCAGGACCAGTTTGAGCGACATTTATGCCCTGATGTGAAATTGAATATGTATCTTTATTATGGCTCTGAGAGAAATAAGTCTGCATCATTCCTTGCTGAACAGGATATTGTACTGACCACCTACAATACATTAACAGTTGATTATGGGGTAGGTTGTGAATATTGAATTGCTGAGTTGTGAAATTCATTGTTGTCTTTGATTTGCGTGCTTTTTGTGCTTGTCAAGTCAAAAGCCTCAGAACTTCGGAATGTTACCTCTTGCTTTTCAGACCGTTGAGTGGTCCTGGATTCTGAAATGTTCCTTTACAAATCCCCTCTGTCGGTAGCCTTTGGAGGTGTGACTGTTTCTGCCATTTCACACACAGTAGAAACCACTTTTTCACACAGCAGTTTGCATTTTTATGGCGCCTCTTAATGCGACTTTGTGTGGCATGATCTGCCTGTACTGCATGCAAAACAAAACTTTTCACTGTATCTAGACACGTGTGACAATAATAAATCAAATTCAGGAAGGAGGGGCAGAAGGATTTAAGAATGGAGTTCTGGAGGGTGGGACCTAGGCAGCTGAATGCCCACATGCTGAGGGCAACAGGAAGAATACGTGAAAGGAGTTTGCATATTGGAGAGGCTGTGTCAATAAAGCATGGGATTTGGTTGAGAGGCGGTAGGGCTGGAAGAATGATGTGGAGGGGTAGGTAAATAGAGGGAATTGAAGACCAAGTTATTTTACATTTGAGGCAATGGTTTGGAGCCTAATTGTATTTCAGATTGGGTGGTGGGCAAGTGTGACAGGTTGTGGGATAAGATGGAGAGAGTTTTTGGCTGAGGATAGGTGGTTGCCTGGGAGAGGAATTGAATAGCCATTGGAGTTGAATGTAGCACATGGTGCTGAAGGAATTGAAGGATAGGGGGAAGAGGCAGGAACAGTCTCTGTATTGGATGATTTGGCAGATTCATAATGAATGGTGGAGCAGGCTTGAAGGGCTTAAATAGCCTATTCCTGCTCCTGTTTTCTAAGTAGGGGGCAGGTTACAATAGATTTAACAGCATGAAATATTGTTATAATGTGATAATCAGCAGATTTACTGCAAAGAAAATGTGGTGTTGGAAACTTGGCTTCAGTCAAAGAGGTCATTCAGCAAACAGATTGTATCAGTGTTACTGGTGAGCAGGAAGTGGCATTGATTTCCCTACCTACTCCTCCCTGACAAAGGTGTGCCTTTTAGTTGTGACACCTATCTCCGCAGCACAGGGTTTATATTATCAAAAGAGACTTACTGATATAATAGCAGGAAAATTGAGAATCTGTGGGGTGTATATGAGGAAGTTAGCACAGCAAAAGCAGTGGGAACTGACATTAACTGAAGGTCAGGAATATTTTAATGATTTCCGCATGGGTTATGATGATGATCAGGCATAGACACAGTACTTCGACTGAATTAATAATGCAAGAGGTCTGCAATCGAAGTAGTTTCCATTATGCTGTGCTTCACAATGTTCAGGTAGGGGAGAGTTACACATTAGAAATGAGGATTGATCTGCTATACAACATGATGTTTAAAAGCTTAAAGCAGCATTGTTTCTAATAGATAATTAAATACTCTGTGCAAATAAAAACGAAAAGAACTGTGGATGCTGTAAATCAGAAACAAAAACAGAAGTTACTGGAATAGCTCAGCTGGTCTGGCAGCATCTGTGAAGAGAAGTCAGAGTTAACATTTCGGATCTGGTGACCCTTCCTCAGAACTGTGTGTGTAAATATTTTATGCATTCCCTGTGTGTGTGTGTGTCTACACACCATACCATATTGACTACATTACTCTTAAAAATATTTTATTGGCCGCTTTGGGATAACCTGAGGCCATGAAAAGCCCTATATAAATACAGTTCATTCTTTAAGAACAGCCACAAAATTAATTCCAAGCGTACTTGAGTTTACCCATGGCAAAGGTCTGTACCTAGGGTTGTGGATGAGGTTGTTGACTTGGTCACAGAGCTGGCTTGTTCTCAACCAGCTCAGTGTGCAAGTCAGCAACCTCACAATTAAAGCTTATGTCCAGAGGGGAAGTTTATAGGAGACACCTTTGATGTAGCTAACTGAATCGTTCACTGTCCTTCAAAGCATCACTGACAATAATGTGCTATTTTAATAATGACCAAGTAACATTGAGTATCCTTTTCCACCTGCCCGATGTAATCGTGACTTTTCAAAGTTACAGAATCTGACAAAATGTTGGGGTCGATTTCACCGTCGCTCGGGTGTATAAGTGGCAGTGTAGATGAACTGTTTGTTATGCAAACGGGTGGGTTTCATTTCTCCCAGTTTGTACCACAATTAAAATGGAGTGGTCTGTACACTTGGTGACCAAACCACCACCCCAGGTGGTGAGTGGGAAATCTAACCTTTAGATGCTGCGGGCTTGAAGATTAAAAACTTCAACTTTCTCACTTTACGTAAATATGACTTGTACAATTAATCATGTAATCATGGCATTCTGGGTCTTAAATTCCATTTAAACCTTTATTTGAGTGTAACAGGAATTAGGAAAGACTGGGCATTACATATATGATTGGGATAACTCAGATAGTATACAGTAAGCATAACATAAGATTGCATTACATTAGTAAATCCAGAAGACAACTTGAATTAGTTTAAAAGTAAGTTTGAAGTGGACACTTAAAGTTTTGAATACCTGTTTAGAATAGTGGGTTGGGGAAGACGGAGACTGGGGTATTTAAAACACACCTGAAAGCTGCTGAGAGAGTTAAGGTGCTAAGAGCTGGCTTTAATGCACTGAATGGGCTTTCTGTATTTTTATTTAAACGTGTCAAGACAAGACCAGCCTTGCTCATTCCAGTGTTAGTAAAATATTAAGTGTGTTGAGTCTCAGTTACTGAGCTGTTAAAAATGTCCTAAGCTGTTTTAGAGCATTTCAATCTCTACAGTGCTGAACAATTCAGGCAGCTAGAGTAAAGATACCCCCTATAACCTTCCCTATCGACATGAGGCCTATCCTTCAGTTTCAGTTTTTTAAAAAATCCCAATGCCGCATTGGTGCAGGGGGTTTGTCTGAATGCATGAAGTAGCTGTGCAGTTGTCAAGTGTGAGAGAGTTGCACTGGATTTTTATTTTCTATCACCTCGCAGTGATTATGCTAAACTTGTCCTTACAGAGTGGGAGTGCCAGCCCCCTGCATAAAGTGAACTGGCTCCGTGTGGTATTGGACGAGGGCCACACCATACGCAATCCAAACGCCCAGCAGACCAAAGCTGCACTCACATTGACTGCTGAAAGGCGATGGGTATTAACAGGTAAGACTGAGAGATGTGTATTGCACTGACCTGGGCTGGATTTTGTGGTGGAATGGTTGCGAGCCTAAGGCTGTTGGTGTTTGCTGCTTTTAAAATACCAGTCAGACCAGAAGCTTTGGCCACTGCACATAATGCAATTACATGTGCGAATGGCAAGATTGCTACCTGCTCATCCGAAAGCCAGCATTGGTATCTTGCAGGGAGACAAGGTTTTTTTCGGGGGGGAAATGACAGGGTAAACATAGGTGCAATATTCTCAATGACCAGGGACTGCAGACTGTCAGGGGGGTCACAGTTTCAGGATACAGGGTAGGCCATTTTAGTCTGAGATGAGGAGAAATTGCTTCACCCAGAGAGTGTCACTGCTGTGGCGTTCTCTGCCACGGAAAACGGTTGAGGCCAAAATCATAGAATCGAATCCCTACAGTGCAGGTGCAGGCCATTCAGCCCAGCAAACCTGCACTGACTCTCTGAACAGCATCCCACCCATTCCCACCCCACCAAGCCTATCCCTGTTAACTCTGCATTTCCCATGGCTAACCCACCGAGCTTGCACATCCCTGAACACTGGGCAATTTAGCATGGCCAATCTGCATGGCATGCACATCTTTGGACTCTTGAGTTTTTTTTAAATTCGTTGGATGAGGTGTCATTGGTTAGGCCAGCATTTATAGCAGTGAAGAGTCAACCACATTGCTGTGGCTCTGAAGTCCCATGTAGGCCAGACCAGGTAAGGATGGCAGTTTCCTTCCCTAAAGGATGGGTATTTCTGACAATCAACGTTAGACTCTTAATTGCATTTTTTTTTTATTGAATTCAATATTGATTCAAACCCAGGTCCCCAGAACATTAAAAAAACTGAAAGAACTGCGGATGCTGTAAATCGGGAACAAAAACAGAAGTTGCTGGAAAAGCTCAGCAGGTCTGGCAGCATCTGTGAAGAAAAAAAGAGTTAATGTTTCGGGTCCGGTGACCCTTCCTCAGAATTAAGTTCAGTAACCCTTCCTCAGAACTCGGACCCGAAATGTTAAGTCTCTCTTTTCCTTCACGGATGCTGCCAGACCTGCTGAGCTTTTCCAGCAACTTTGTTTTTGCCCCAGAACATTACCTGGATCTCTGGATTAACAGTCCAGCGATAATACCACTAGGCCATCATCTCCACATGAGTTAATCAGAGCACCCAGAGGAAACCCCCACAGACACAGGGAGAATGTGCAAACTCCACACAGACATTCACCTGAGGTTGAAATTGAACCTGGGTCCCTGGGGCTGTGAGGCAGCAGCGTTAACTGCTGAGCCACCATGTTACCCCACTGAGTGTTTTCAAGAAAGAGTTCTTAGGGCTGAAGAGATCAAAGGGTGTGAGGGAGAAAGCAGGAACAAGGTACTGAGTAGGTTAATCAGCTGTGATCATATCGAATGGCGGAGCAGTCTTGAAGGGCCGAATGGCCTATTCCTGTGCCTATTTTCTGCGTGTTGAACCGGACCTGTCTGATATGTGTACACTAGGCTTACTCGTCACCTTGCCCGTTCCATTGTTAGTAAAATATTGAGTGTGTTGAGTCTCAGTTACTGAGCTGTTAAAAATGTTGTTAAGGGAGCTGCTTGTGTGTTCACAGTAGCCGCTAGTTTATTTGTGGTTTTTTATCAATGCTGCAATACCTGAAGCTGTCACTAGTCCGATGCGTTAATTTGCAGAAAGCCTTTCATTTGATCTCCATTGTGTCACCTAGCAGAACATCACCCGAGAGGCACCACTCCCTCTGTGTGGCTCCGCTGGTGTTGCACACACCTTCCAACCATAAGTTTCCAGGTTCAAATGCTGCTCCAGAGAGTTGGGACAGACTGGAGATGTGGTGGCCAAGTGATGCTGCCACTGGGCTAGTAATCCAGAATCTTTGATTAATGTTCTGGGGATAAGGTTTCAAATCCTACCTGTGCACTTTCATTGTTACAGGTATAAGGCGTTGTGTGTTTGCCTGTCCATGCATCTTCAGGATGATTTTCCTCAGGTCTTGGTTATCCCCTTTCTTCATTTGTCGCAACGGCAGTCTGGTCTCAAATCTTGCAGCACATCAGGATCCACATATTCGAAGTTGAGACTTGCCTGTGAACATTACTGACTTGGCTCGAGAGTCAGTTAGCTCGGTTGGCTGGGTTGGCAGGTTTGTAGTGCAAAGTGAAGCCAACAGCATGGGTTCAAACCCCGCCCCGACTGACGTTACTCTTCCCTCTCCCCACGCATGGTCACCCTGGGGTAAACCACCACCAGTTGTCTCTCTCTAATGTGAAACTTCACCTGTGGTGACTTGATCTTTTAACCACCTTGAAAACAACTTTAAATTAATTTAAAATATGTAGCTATTCAATTGATATGATTCTGCTGCAGGCACACCAATTCAAAACTCCTTGAAGGATCTTTGGTCCATCCTTTCGTTTCTGAAGTTGAAACCATTTACAGACAGACAGTGGTGGCATCGGACTATCCAACGGCCTGTAACCATGGGGGACCAGCACGGTCTCAGGTAGGTATCTTTGAACTTGAATGTTGCTGAAAAAGGACATGTTTCGTCGAAGCATTTCATCTTCCACTCATCAGAACAATTTGCAAGAAATACTGACGTACAGGGGAGGGACACTTTTATACTGTAAAAGAGCATGCTTCTTGATTGACAGGTGGGCTGTAGTCAAAGCAGTGCCCTGACGAATAAATTAGAAAACAGCAGAAGAGTCGTATCAAACTTGAAACCTTAACTCTGTTTCTTTCTGTCCAAAGATGCTGCCAGACCTCCCAAGTTTGTCCAGCGTTCTGTGTTTGTTTCAGATTTCCAGAACCCGCAGTGTTTAGCTTTTATTTTAGCCAAAGGAAATATCTCCTGGAGAGATTCCAAAGCGCTTGGCAAACAATAAATTATTTTGTTGTCGGACGCTGCTGGGTATGAAATCATAACTGCCATTTTGCATGCAGCTAGAGTTGTTCGAAAAGACAAGACCCCTGCTTTCAGTGATGATAAGGGAAAGGAATGTTTCCTATGACACTGGGAGAACTCTACTGTCCTTCAAGTTGTGTCTTGGGGTTTGTCCATCTGTATCATTGAAATGGCCCTCACTGCTTCTGATTGATTTATTGTTGTCCTATGCATAAAGATACAGTGAAATGTGTTGTTTTGTGTGCTGTACAACCAGATTGTACCTTACAGAGGTCTATTCGGAAGTCTGAAAACAGCAGGGAAGAAGCTGGTCTAGAGCCTGTTCAAACTTTTGTACCTTCTGCCCGATGGAAGAGAGTGTAACTGGGGTTGAAGGGGTCTTTATGGATTTCAGTAAGGCCTTTGGTAAGGTTCCACAGGGTAGGCTGCTCTGGAAGGTTAGATCACATGGCATCCAGGGACATCTGGCAAATTGGATATACAGTTGGCTTGATGGTAGGAAACAGAGGGTAATGGTGGAAGGATGCTTGTCTGACTGGAGGCCTGTGACTAGTGGTGTGCCTCAGGAGTTGGTGCTCGGCCCGTTGCTGTTTGTTATCTATAATCAATGATTTGGACGAGAATGTGCAAGGCATGATTACGGTATTGTGGACAGTGAGGAAGGTTATCAGAAGTTGCAGCAGGATCTTGATCAGATGGAGAAGTGGGCTGAGAAATGGCAAATAGAGTTTAACATAGATAAGTGTGAGGTGTTGCATTTTGGAAAGATAAATCCAGGTAGGAGTTTCATGGTAAATGGGTAGGGCCTTAAGGAGTGTAGTGAAGTTCAGATGCACAGTTCTCTGAAAGTGGAGTCACAGGTAGACAGGGCAGTGAAGAAAGCTTTTGGCACACTGGCCTTCATCAGTCAGGGCACTGAGTATAGAAGTTGGGAAGTTATGTTGCAGTTGTACAGGACATTGGTGAAGCTACACTTGGAGTATTGTGGTAACAAGGTGTAAAGCTGGATGAACACAGCAGGCCAGGCAGCTTCAGAGGAGCAGGAAAGCTGACGTTTCGGGTCTGGACCCTTCTTCAGAAATGGGGGAGAGGAAGGGGATTCTGAAATAAATAGAGAGAGAGGGGGAGATGGATGGAAGGTGGATAAAGGAGCAGATAGGTGGAGAGGAGACAGACAAGTCAAGGAGGCGCGGATGGAGCCAGTAAAGGTGAGTGTAGGTGGGGAGTTAGGGTGGGGGTGGGTCAGTCCAGGGAAGATGGACAGGTCAAGGAGGCGGGATGAGGCTGGTAGGCAGGAGGTGAGGGTGGGGGTTGAGGTGGGAGGAGTGGATGGGTGGGAGAAAGGACTGACAGGTTAGGGAGATGGGGACGAGCTGGGCTGGTTTTGGGATGCGGTCAGGGGCGGGGAGATTTTGAAGCTTGAAGTTCACATTGATACCATTGGGCTGCAGGGTTCCCAAGCGAAATATGAGATGCTGCCCCTGTGACCTTCGGGTGGCATCGTTGTGGCACTAGAGGAGGCCCAGAATGGGCATGTCATCCAAGGAGTGAGAGGGGGAGTTGAAGTAGTTCATGACTGGGAGGTGCAGTTGTTTGTCGCGAACCGGAATATAACCGAATACTTGGAGTATTGTGTTCAGTTTTGGTCACCTTGCAATAGAAAGAATGTTATTAAACTGGAGAGATTGCAGGAGAAATTTACAAGGATGTTGCCAGGACTCAAGGCACTGAGTTATAGGGAGAAGTTGGATAAGCTAGGACTTTTTTCTTTAGAGTGTAGGGGACTGAGGGGGGAATCTTATAGAAGTGTATAAGATCATGAGAGTCTTGGATAGGCACTTTGGATAGGTCTTTTTCCCTAGGGTTGGGGAATCGAGGACTAGAGGGTATCAGTTTAAGCTAAGAGGGGAAAGAATTCATAGGAACCTGAGAGGCAACTTTTGTAAAAGGGTGTACAGAGGGTGGGACGCATATGGAATGAGCGAAAGAGGTTGAGGAGGGTGCATTAACAACATTTAAAAAATATTTGGACAAATACATGGATAGGAAAGGTTTAGAAGGATATGGGCCAAGTGCAGGGAAATGGGCTTAGCGTGGATAGACATTTTGGTCGGCATGGACTAGTTTGGGCCAAAGGGCCTGTCTCTGTGCTGTAGGACTGTATGACTGTAGATTGTTGGTGATATATACTCCCAGGAACTTGATTCTCTGGACCATCTCCACCTCAGCACCATTGATACAGACAGGGGCGTGCCCTCCTCTCCACTTCCTGAAGTCAATGACCAGCTCCTTCACTTTGCTGACGTTGAGATTGTTGTCTTTACATCATACTGCTAAGCACTCAAACTCTTTCCTGTGTTCTGTCTCATCGTCGTTTGAGATCCAACCTACAACAGTGGTGTCATCAGCAAACTTGTAAATGGAGTTGGGGTGGAATTTGGCCACACAGTCATAAGTGTATAAGGAGTATGGTAGGGTATGCGGCCGTGTGGGGCACTGTTGTTGAGGATTATGCTGGAGGAGGTGTTGTCCCCTACCTTACTGACTGCAGCCTATGGGTCAGGAAGTCGAGAATCCAGTTACAGAGGGGAGAGCCGAGATCTGGTTCTCGGAGCTTGGAGATGAGTTTGGAATTATGGTGTTGAAGGCGGAGCTGTAGTCAATAAGTAGGAGACTGATGTAGGTATCCTTGTTATCCAGATGTTTCAGGGAGGAGTGTAGGGCCAGGGAAATGGTGTCTGCTGTGGACCTGTAGCGCTGGCAGGCAAATTGCAAAGGATCAAGGCAATTTGGTAGGTTGGAGTTGATGTGTGTCATGACTAACCTCTCGAAGCTCTTCATACTTACGGAAGTCAGAGGCACTGGGGAATAGCCATTGAGGCATGCTGCATGATTTTTCTTTGGCACTGGGATGGTAGTGATCTTCTCATAGCATGTGCAGATTTCAGATTGTAAGGAGAGGTTAAAGATATCAGTGAATACTTTCGCCAGCTGCTCCACACAGGATCTGAGTGCGTGTCCAGAGACTCTATCTGTACCAGTGGGTTCCGTGGGTTCACTCTCAAGAAGGTTGATCTAACATCTGCAGCAGTGACAGTGGATATGGGTGCATCCGAGACTGTTGGTATAAGGTGACACCATTTCACTGACCTTCTGTTCAAAGTCAGCGTAAAATGCATTGAGCTCGTTGGGTAGGGATGTACTGTTGCCTGAGGTTCTGTTCAACTTCGCTTTGTAGCCCATTATAGCGTGTAAGCACATAATGTCTATGTGACTCCTAGGACAAGTTAGAACTTCCATTAGTGCACTGCGGGTCAGCCCAGTTTACAGGGGTGAGCGTAGAATGTTTAACCCTCAGCCCTGCTGTAAATAACATCCGGACATTGGTCTTGAAATTCGAGCCTCTGATTCAGAGACAAAGGTGCTAACCAGCTAAACTTTCAAGAAAATAAGTGGGCACTATCCAGTAGTTCTTATGCAATTTCTAGCAGAGCTAGTGTTCCTTGTTTCTTGAATACCTGAATGAAACTGTGCACACCTCTATCATCTATTGAAAGAAGGGTATAGTACCACTGGAGACTAGGTAAAAAAGATAACTGAAATTTTAAATCAGGGAAAAATAAAAGGTTGCAGAAAAAAAAGAGTAATAAAGCAAAGAACTGCAGGTGCTGAAAATCTGAAGCAAAAACAGAAATTGCCAGAGAAACTCAGCAGGTTTGACAGCATCTGTGTAGAGAGAAAGCACAGTTAATGTTATGAGTCCAGCGACCTTTCTTCAGAACACTGATACTGCCAGACTTGTTGAGTTTCTCCAGCAATTTCTGTTCTTGTGAAGAAAAGTGAGGTTTGAGGGTCAGCCTGCTTTTGAAAATTGTGCAAGGGGCTTGACGGAAGTAATAATGTGAGCGCTGGGGCTGCGCAGCAGGTTCGGTTATCAGTCGTGGTTTGACCTGGTGAGAGGATGTTTCTGCTTATGGGAGAATTCAGAACCCAAGGCCAGAAATACAAGATACTGACAAATTAGTCCAGAAGTTGTAGGAGGAACTTAGGAGGAGATCCAATTTTCTTTTCTCAGAGGCTGGCTGGAAAATTGGACCTTACTACTGCATTGCGCTTAAACAGCAGGTGAACAGTGTGTTTGCCTTTAAGGAGTGCTGGATAAACAAATGAAGGCAATACCATGAGAAAGCTGTGGTGATGTGAACAGTCAGTGAGTATAATCTTGGAATAGTCACATTCAGCAGAATGTACATTCCACGCTGAGACACATTTTTAATCAGTAAGGGAATCAAGGGTTATGGGGAAAAGGCAGAAAACTGGAGTTGAGGATTATCAGAGCAGCCATGGTGTCACTGAATGATGCAGTAGATTCAATGGGCCGAATGACTTACTTGTGCTGCCTCCTAGAGATGTACAGCATGGAAACACACACTTCGTACAACTCATCCATGCAACCAGATACCCTAAATTAATCTAGTTCCATTCACCAGCATTTGGCCCATATCCCTCTAAACCTTTCTTATTCATGTACCCATCCAGATGCCTTTTAAATGCTGTAATTGTACCCACCTCCACCTCTTCCTCTGGCAGCTCGTTCTATACACGCACCACCCTCTGTGTGAAAAAGTTACCCCTCAGGTCCCTTTTAAATCTTTCCCCTGTCACCTTAAGCCTATACCATCTAGGTTTGGACTCCCCATAACCTGATAAAAAGACCATGGCTGTTCACCCTATCTGTGCCCGTCATGATTTTGTGAGCCTCTACATGGTCAACACTCAGCCTCAAAGGCCCAGGGAAAGAAGCCCCACAGCCTAATCAACCTCTCAGCCCCGGCAACATCCTTGTAAATCCTTTCTGCACCCTTTCAAGTTTGTCGACATCTTATGGTCTGATGGCTTATTGTTAGCGTGACTGTAATAATAAATTTCGTGCTGGTGACATATCAAAGATAGCGTAACTATTGCATTCCATGTGAAGCTGCTGGACTTTAAAGCCTTTTTGTTCTTCAGACGGCTGCAAGCGTTAATAAAAAACATTACCTTGCGAAGAACCAAAACCAGCAAGGTAAATGGCAAACCTGTAATCGAGCTCCCTGAGCGCACCGTTTTTGTGCAACATATAACCCTATCCGATGAAGAAAAGCAAATCTACGAGTCTGTGAAGAATGAAGGCCGGGCCATCATTGGCAGGTGAGACTCCAGAGAAACACCCAGTCTCCAGTTCAGAAGGTGGAGACTATACAACATTATCTCATTGTGCGTGGAACAAAATGTGACAATTTTATTATAAAACGGATGTTTTATTTGTGTAGTAGAGACAACTATGTGGGAGCCACAAAGAGGCAATTCAGTATGTAAAAAAGACCCAGTAATACTTGGAAATGAATGTGCTGGTTGCACTGGAGCACTGATCTAAAGTATACGAGACAAGAGGGACCAGTATGCGTCATTCACCAGTTTTACTGGTGTTTTCCTCCTGAGATTGTCCCTGAATAAGTGCCTTATGTTGATAGGTTTGATGGTGTGGTTTTGATTGCTTAATTATTTAATCAGAATGCTTAAATAGAAGATTGATTTTAATGGGCAGAAAACCATGGGTTTGAGGTCAGTCATTTCTCCGTATGGGTACTTGGCAGAGATAAACATTTCATCTTAAATTCTTTACTGAAGCTGGACTTTATATTTTTAAAGATGTGCTTCAGCTTCAGTGGCAGTGCTCATGGATTAAAAAAAAACCTCGCTGTCCAGCAATTGTCTGAAATTCTTTATCACTGTCTCTCTCGTTCTGTCCCGCTGTTCTCTCAGTGCCGTTTTGTTGAGCACTTTGGGAAGGCTGCAGTTTGGCAACTGTTTCGCCCTGCTTTAGTCTACAGAGACACAACGCTGACTGAACATGTCATTTTGCTGCTTTGAAACACACATGTCCACCATTTAACGCTTACCCCACGTTCCAACATTTTTCAGATATTTCAGTGAAGGATCCATTTTCACACATTATGCAGATGTCCTCGCCATCCTGGTCTGGCTGAGGCAGTTGTGTTGTCATCCTCGTCTGTTTGCAAATTCTTCAGCTGTGATGGGTTCCTCAGGTATGTCAGAGCCTCTGTCATTATCCTCGTATCAGTAAAACAGGAGATTGTTTGTTTGTTTCAGAAGCTTTCTATCCACGATAGAAGTTAATGAAATTGAAGGGATAGTGGCATTGTGAATACAAAATGGGCCAAGGGTTTTCCAGCTGTTGGATGGCGACTGTTTATAGTCGTGTGCCCCAGAGGTCTTTTGGAATGAGTGATTTATTGTCGCACATATCTAGGGAGATACAGTGACGAGTGTTTTGTCGCCACAATCCGATGCTATTTTAAGTTACAAAGGAATAAAAAGAAAGTACTTAAATAGAGCTCATCTTCGTCATCCCAAACATAGCTCCATGGGCGACACGGTGCCTCAGTGCTTAGCACTGCTGCCTCACAGCACCAGGGACGCAGGTTCTCCTTCTGAAAATTTTATTTGCATCCAAGCAACTTTGTGTTTCTTCAGTATGGGCATTTTCATTTGACACAACATTTCATTATTTTAAGGCATTTTCCAAATTCATTCATAACTCTGCTGTCGACAGAAAATATGAAACAAAGGATTAAAGTTTTGGGGATTGCTTTCTCATAAGACAATAAGGTCCCATAGAAGAGATTAGCACGTAAAAATTAAAGCGCGTGGGATTGGAGTGGTATCCTGACATAGATGGAGAACTGGTTGGTAGACAGGAAACGACGAGTAGGGATAAACAGGACTTTTTGCAAGTAGCAGGCAGCGGCTAGTGGGTTACCAGAGGGATCAGCACTTGGACCCCAGCTATTCACAATACATATTGATGACTTAAATGAGGGAACAAATTGTAATATCTCCAAGTTTGTAGATGAGACAAAGCTGATTGGGAGGGTGAACTGTGAGTCAGATGCAGAGATGCTTCATTGTGATTTAGACACATTGAGTGAGTGTACAAGTGCATGACAGATGAAGAATAATGTGGATAAATGTGAGGTTCTCTGTTACATTCCAAGAAGGAGCACAAGGCCAAGTGTTAAACGGTTGCTTTATTACAGAGATATTTGCTCTACAGGCGAAGTTAGACCAAGATGTTTCCCACCCAAAATGGCTGATAACATCATCATTACATCATGTGATCGGACTCAAATTGATAGTCCACCATACTTCCACCCTCGGGCAACTGTCTGTGTGGGGTTTGCACATTCTCCCCGTGTCTGCGTGGGTTTCCTCTGAGTGCTCCAGTTTCCTCCCGCAGCCCAAAGATGTGCAGGCTGGGTGGATTGGTTATGCTAAATTGCCCATAGTATCCAGGGATGTGTAGGTGGGTTAGCTATGGAAATGCAGGATTACAGGGATGGGGGGAATGGGTCCGGGTGGGATGCTCTTCAGAGGGTCGATGTGGACCTGTTGGGCTGAATGGCCTATTTACACACTGTCGGGATTCTACTCTATGGCTTCTGCAGTGTCTCTACAAGGAGTACAGCAACGATGACGCCAATGCCTCAGGAGTTCTTGGCTGATCATGCCACCACTGCCTTACTGACATCACCGGAAGCTCCAGCTTCGGGCCTACCAAAGCCGAGAGTCCCTGTTCCAGCCACCGAGACTGCCTCCGTCACCACCGCCAAGAGCCTTTTGTTAGGATTACACCGCTTTCACACATCTTACTGATCTGGATTTCAGAACGTAGCACAGAACTGTGAAATTTGCAGATGAGCAGAAACACTTGGAACAGTAGTCAACAGCAGTGAGAATTGCAGATTTCAGCATACAGACCAGTAAATTGGGCAGATATATAAATGGCAGATGAAATTTAACTGAAAATGTGAAATGCACTTTGCCTCTCTTCATCCTTCCAATGTGTAAGGATTACAATAACGGTACCTGGACTCAAAGGGTTCAGATCTGAGGAGGGATGAGACAAATTAGCCCTGTTTTTCTCTAGAATTTAGCAGGCTTAAGGGGTGGTCTGATCGAAGTCTTCAAGGTATTAACAGGAAAAGACAGGATAGGTAAAGATAAACTATTTCCACTGTTTGGGGCTGCTAGAACTAGGGGGCGTAGCCTGAGAATTAGGGCCAGACTGTTCAGGAGAGAGATTAGGAAGCATTTCTATACACAAAGGGTGGTAGATATTTGGAACTCTTCCACAAACAGGAGTGGATACTGGATAGTTTTAAATCTGAGTTAGATACAAGTCATTAAGGGATATGGGCCAAAGGATATGGAGTGAGATCACAGATCAGCCATGATCTCATTGAATGGTGGAACTGACTTGAGCAACTGAATGGCACACTCCTCTTCCTACGTATGGTACAATTTTTTAAAAGGGGTTGCGGAAACAGTGAGGCCTGGGGAGTTTGCAGGTAGAAATCCTTTTAAGGTAGATGAGAAAACAAATTGTGGTCTTGTGGTACATTGGGTAAGATCCCTGCCTCTGGACCAAAAGCTTCAGGTTCAAGACCCACTCCAGGACTCAATGGTCAAGGAAAGTGCATTTGTAATCTGGCCCAACAGGTGCTGTATCAACTTGTAAATCCTTTGAGTGTACACCAACGGCAGGAGGTAAGGATGGGAGATATTTCTGGCCAGCCATGTGGTGGAGGGTCACGAGATCCAACACCACTGGATTCTCAAACTTCAGGGAGTTAGTGAGCTGAGATTTCGGGGTTGCCAGCTCTGAGATGTCAGTGGCTGGACCTTCTTTTCCGAGTATTCCCTTGCCTCCCACCCACTCACCAAGGGGTCATGCCAAGATTCGAGCCTCAAAGTGGAGCCCCTTAGGAAAAGGTTTGGGAAGTACTACCCTAGGGTCCCGACCCAAAACGTCAGCTTTCCTGCTCCCCCTGATACTGCCTGGCCTGCTGTGTTCCAGCTCCAGCTCCATACTATGATATATCCTACAATCACCGTTCTTAACTTCAAGCTACAAGCGCGTGAAAGTATGTGTTGTCATGGCAATGGGAACTCCACATGAGGGCAAGTTCATCAGTGGCTGTTGGAGGGATAGGGGGGTCAAATTGGTACAGGCTGAGGGGCAGTCCCAATTCCATCTGGGGTACATCTGGGAATTGCTTCCTTGCCCTGCCCGTGGGTTGGAACAGCCTCTCGGTTAAGGACCCAGGAAGACTGAGAAGATGCTAGTCAGCCATGGCGTTAACGCCCCACTCCTGTTCCTAAGGTTGAATTGAAGAGATTTTTTTAATGAAAAAAACAGAATTTTGGGATCTATAAGTAGAAGCACAGAGTACAAAAAGCAGACTGTGATGGTAATCTTTTATGATGTCCTAATTAGACCCATTTTGAAGCTTTGGGTCCAGTTCTGTGTGCCATGCTTACAGAAGAATATCAGGGCCTCGGAGAGGTCAGGCAGCATCTACACAGAGAGAAGCAGAGTTAACGTTTCGAATCCAGTATGACTCCTTTTTGGAACTAGGGTGCAGAAAAAAAGTTATCATCTTTTGTGTTGTTGATAAAGGGGGAGGAGATGCAAGGCAAAGGGATGGTGAGAGTGCCTAGAGCAAAAGACATGGGGAATATTAATGGTACTATTAATCTAGATGAAGAATAGGTGCTAATGGTAGGTGTGAAGAGAAAACACATGCTAACACACGCATAGCAGAGGAGGAGGAGGAGGAGGTATGGGGTGTAATCAGAATGGAGGACAGTATACAATGGGTACAGGGGTTTGAGTTGAACTCCATGTTGAGTCCTGAAGGTTGTAAAGTACTGAAGTAGAAAATTAGATGCAATTTCTCCAGCTTTGCTGCAGCAGGCCTAGGACAGGAATGCTAGCATGAGAGTTAGATGATGTATTGAAGTAGAAAACAACTGGAAGGCCTGGCTCACAGTGAGGAGTAGTGCCACATACGGAGGATTGCAATCACGTGGAATAACTGAGCTTGTCGTTTTTTGAGCGAAGGAGATTATAGGTTTTATAGTGTTATTATAGATTTTAGATTATTCTCGATTTTATAGTATCATTCAAAGTGTTAGTAAGCAGAGGGTGGAAATTTGAAGAGTTCTGAGCCAAGATAAGGAGAATTTGTTTGGGGCATGATGAGTTTTCAGGATCTTGAATGTCTTGCCTGAAGGAATGGTGGAAACCAATCTACTTGTAACTTTCAAATGTGAATTACTTACTTGAAGGGGTGGAATTCCTCATGGGAGAGGAAATTCAGGGACTATCGCTTGGCCCTTTAAGAACTGATAGGGTATGACTAACCAAATGGTCTATGTGTGATGTTCTTTGACCATCGGGTGCCACATTTTACAGGCAAATTCACTGTGAAATGCCAGAAGACTTTGAAACTGCTGTCCCTATAAATATACAACAAAAAAAAATTTGCAAATGCAATAAATTTGAAACAACACCAGAAAATATCAGAAACATTCAATGGATCTGCCAGAATCTTTGGAGAGAATAAAGGAGCTTTATGCACATGCTGTTTGAGTTGCTGAGTGTTTCAGGCATTTCCTATTATGGTAGCAGTGTACTTTCATTAGACGAATAAAGATTCCATGGCAGTGTTTGTACATGAGCTGAGGATTCCAATTCTGACCAACCCCAATCAGCTGATTGTTCAGTCAAATACTGCTTGTGGGCTCCTGTTGTGTGCAACATGGTTGTTACATTTTCTACATCTGTAGGAAATGCTTTAGTATGTTTACAGACGGGGTGAAGAGCTATCTAAGTGTTACACAAGTCTTGATTTCTGTGCCGCAATCCTGATACAGATTGTTCCTCTGAGAAAATTGCAGCCCTACCAATGTTGATTTTATTTTTTAATTGCCACTGCTCGTCTTCAGGAATGGGTTCCCAATTAGTTATCCTTACCTTTTGCTAATGAAGCCACTAGGCAAATGAGTGTAATTTCTGGTCAAGTTCAGCTAATTCAACACAGACACAGAGACCTTGCTTGTCTGGGGTGCTCTGTCTTGTACTCACAAATAATACAGTGACGTAATTTTTTTTTCAAGCTGTTTCCCAAACCTCTTAAGAAAAGCAAGGAGAGAGTAGGTGACTGAAGCTGTGGTGGGATTTAAAGGGACTCTTGAAGGGAAACAGCCCGGCATCTATCTTTGGGGTGGGGTTTGAGAGTGTGGGACCTAGGCAACATTTTGATGCAGTCAGTGTGTGGTAAAAGGAGGGTGACGTGTGGTCTGGTTTTGGAGGAGGAAAGTCTAGAATTTTGGTGTGGCTGGGAAGGTCTAAAAATATTTTTAAAAAATATTGCTCGTGGGTGAGTGGACCTTGATGTGAGAGAATCCAGACAACAGACCTTTACTCATAGATTGGTTTAAAGTCTATGGGAGGTAGAGGGTAGGTTAGAGTAATTGATGCATTTACTTATCAATCGCAGAGATAAGAAACATCAGAGAATTCTGGAGATTTTCCTTTTAAAATGTAAAATAAATTTCAATATGCTATTGACTATGTAACTAGTTAATATAAAAAAGCAGGTCTGACAGCATCTATACAGAGAGAAACAGAGTTAACATTTTGAATCCGGTATGACTCCTTTTCGGAACTCGAGGGGGAGAAAAAAGTTATCTTCTTTTGTGTTGTTGAGAAGGGGGGAGGAGATGCAAGCAAAGTGATGGTGAGAGTGCCCAGGGGAAAGCAGGGGAGAGAAGAGAAGGAGGCGGTCAGGGCTATAATCAGAATAGAGGACAGTGTACAGTGGGTACATGGGCTGGAGTAGTTGAACTCCATGTTGAGTCCTGAAGGTTGTAAAGTGCCTAAGTAGAAAGTTAGATGCTATTTCTCCAGCTTCACTGCAGCAGGCCTAGGACAAGAATGTTAGCATGAGAGTTAGATGGTGCATTGAACGAGAAAACAGTTGGAAGGCCTGGCTCACAGTGAGGAGGACAGGGCAGCAGAACACCCCGAGCTGCAAGTTCCCCTCCAGGTCACTCACCATCCTGACTTGGAAATATACCGCGGTTCCTTCACTGTTGCTGGGTCAAGATCTTTGAATTCCCTCCTGAACGGCATTGTGTGGGTCAGTCCACAGCAAATGGACTGCAGTGGTTCAAGAAGGCAGCTCACCCCCACCTTTTAGGGCGACTAGGGACGGGCAGTAGATACTGGCCCAGCCAACAGCATCTACATCCCATGAGTGAATACAGATAAATAGTAACCAAATTAAATGCTGATCCAAACAAGACCATTTTGTAAACTGATCAAAAGCTTATAGCAACTGGCTGTGCTGAGATGGAAAAAGTGAGCTGTCTGATTGCGCAGATGATTTAATTTGGGATGGTAGGCCATTCCGTTCATAGATCAAGGAGAGTTTCTGCCCCATTGTGTCTGTGTGTGTCTCTCTTTTTCTCTCTCTCTCATTTTATTTCTTTCTCTCTAGACAATGCCACACCTGATGAACTGCGGGAGAAACTGCTGAACAAGATGAAACTGGTTTTGAGTTGTGGCTCTGATGAAGAGTGTGCCATCTGCCTGGAATCACTGACCTTTCCTGTGATTACCCACTGTGCCCACGTTTACTGCAGACCGTGTATCTGCCAGGTCATTCAGAGTGAGCAGGTCAGTTACACAGACTTGTCTTTCGTTCCTGAATTTCAAAGGTTTCTGTGAATGTTTGTGTTGACCTCAGGGTTTGGAATTTGTTTTGGAGATCCTCTTGATTGGCTGTTTGGAATCCCTGTGAAATCTCCATTCATATGCGTATCTGCAGAGGTTTGTTTGAGTTTTTTTAATTCATTCGCAGGATAAGGGCATCACTGGCTAGGACAGCATTTATTGCCCATCCCTCATTGACAAGAGTCAACCACATTGCTGTGGGTCTGGAGTCACATGTAGTCCAGACCAGGTAAGGATGGCAGTTTGCTTCCTTAAAGGACATTAGTGAACCAGATGAGTTTTTCCGACAATCGACAGTGGATTCATGGTCATCATTAATTCCAGATTTTAATGAATACAAAGTCCACTATCTGCCGCGGCGGGATTTGAACCTGGATCCCCAGAACATTACCTGGGTCTCTGGATTAACAGTCTAGTGATAATTCCACTAGTTGTCTTCCCCTGAGTGTTATCTGCATAAGGCTTGGCTGTTTTGATGCTGCTTTTTCACAGCTTTGCACATAGTAGTTCTGTTTCATACTGGTACTAAATAAAGTTGTCGTATGTTCCCTTTTTTATTTGTCCCTGAGTTAGGTGGTTGTTTCTGACATTACGGATATGATGGGTCGAAGGGTCTTTCTCTGTGCTGTAGATCTCCATGACTTTAAAACTGCTCAAGCGTTTGCTTCTGCGGTTCACCATAAAAACCTTAAAAGGCTTAACAAATTTTCATTAAAACTCTGCACAGGGAGCTGTATGTGAGGCTGCTCCAACTTTGCTCTGTGTGTTAGAAAGGCCTTACTAGTGAACTGTACGCTCGCCAAAGAATTTATATTGTAGTGTTCATGCTGCAATATTAAAAAAGTGATAGTCTTGATGCGTCTGGCTTAAAAATTTTCTCAGATGTTGATGTGTGCCACAAGAAGAAGACAAGAGATTTGTCTACAGCATGGAAAAGGACCTTTCAGCCCCACGCGTCCATGTCAGTTCTCAGGATTGTATCCTTTCTTATTCCATTTTCCAGTATTTGGCCCATAGCCTTGTTTCAGATACTGATCTAAATACTTTTGAATGTTTTGAGGGTTATCGCCTCAACCACCCTTTTTAAGCAATGAGTTCCAGAGACGCCACACCCCCATCCTCTGGGGAACTTGTTTTGCTTTATATCCTTTCTGTCAACCCACTCCATACCTTGAAATTGTGCCCATTGGTTATTGAGCCCTCTACTAAGAGGAGAGGTTTCTCCATCTCCCTACCCTGTTTATGCCCTCAGAACTTTGTACACCTCAATCAGATCCCAACCTCCCCCCACCCTGTCTAAGCCTTTTCTCTGCTCTGAGGAGAACAGCCCCAGTCTTGAGTGACATTGACCAAAAAGGGAAGTGTAGCAAACTTTTTATTAAATAGGAGGAGCAATCCAGTTGATAAATATTCCAGATAAACAAGAGGTTACGCATAACTGCAGTAAACCCTGAGCAAGTGGAACTTTTGAGACATCAACTTCCCTCAAAAAAAACTATGTGAAAACATCAACATACCTCCTAAAAACAATGTTAAAAACACACAGGAAGTAACAGAAACGTAATACAGGGGTAGACATGTCTCTGTTATACTTTATTTACAGCATAAACACTTGGACATTTGCGGTCAATCGCGGTATTTGAAGTGTATAATTTTGACGGTGCGCTGGTTGATAAGATGGTAGTTAACACAAAGATTGGGTTCTTAAACGGCAATGTTGACCCAATCATTAAACACTGGAGTGTGCGCTGTGTTGTCCTGTTGCTTCTGCTCTCCGGTGTAAATGATGAATTTTAGGGCAGTTTATAGCTTTGGTGAAAGCCGTTTATCAGTGTAAGGATGACAGCTTTGACTCCTGTGTGTAAATTAAGTGTGTCTGATCTTTGGCAATGTCCTGTTATATTTGCCTCCTGATTTGTTTTTGTTGTCGGCGCTAGCCCACTGCCAGGTGTCCCTTGTGCAGGGCAGAGATCCGAGTCGAACAGCTGGTGGAATGCCCCCCTGAAGAGACAGACGTCACGGCACCTGACAAATCCCAGCAGGTCTGGGTCTCCAGTTCAAAGGTCAGCCAGCAGCCCTTGTTTCTTAAAAAGCCTCTCCATTTGTGGGCAGGAGAAACACAGACATCAGGGAAGGGGAGATTCTGTGAGAGCACGGATATTATCCGTGGAATGTCAGCCTGCAGACATTTGCAAAAACCAGCAGCTGCAACATGTGTGGGCAGTCTGTATCCATTCAGGAGTAAAGGAGGGATTGAATTGCTTACGGTTAGCTTCAAAGTGACCAGCCACGAGAGAGGACTTTTCTTTCAGGTCACTTTTTTTAAAGGGAGGAGGGGACTTGATTCCACCCAAACAGGGTGAAATTTTACAGTTACAGCTGAGTTTCTAAGTTTTATTCAAAACATAGAAGGCAGGAAATGCCTGCAGTGTTTTGAGTCATGTACTAACTTTGATATAATTGCATAACTCATTTTATGGGTTCAGAGGAGATTTACCAGGTTGTTGCTGGGTATAGAAGGTTTGAGTTATAAAGAAAGGCTGGATAGGCTGGGACTCTTTTTTTTTCACTGTAGCATAGGAGGTTGGGAGGTGACCTTATAGAAAATTATAAAATCATGAGGGGTATGGATGGGGTTAATGGTGTTAATGGTAGGTGTCTTTTCCCTAGGATTGGGGGTTTCAAGACTATGGGATGTATTTTCAAAGAGATTTTAAAAGAAAGACATGGGGGCAGTTTTTTTTACACAGAGGGTTGTTCTTGTGTGGAATGAACTTCCCGAGAAAGTGGTGGGTGTAGGCACAATTGCAATGATTAAAAGACACTTGGATAAGTACATGAAAAGGAAGGGTTTGAAGGGATATGGGCCAGGAGCAGGCAGGTGGGACCAGTTTAGTTTGAGATTATGTTCGGCATAAGGGTCTGTTTCCGCACTGTATGACTCTATGACTGGTACTTGCCCACTCTTAAGATTCAGCCGATTTAGGTTTGTGGGAACTAAATGGAAATTTCTGAAGAAAATTGCACACCAAACATTTTGCTTTATATTTGGAAGCCAGGTTTTATCCCCCAGTTGCTCATTGTTCTGCGTTGGGAGCAGAGAGCGATTGGAAGAAAAGAAACTCTTTCCATTTATTGTATTCTCTCCATTGCTTTTACTTCATCTATTTTGATAATTGAAGAAAGGTTATGAATTACAGGCATGAAATTGCCAGAAAAAGCAGCAAGCCTGAGGATTGGCAGCATTTTAGCATTTAAAGAGGATGAAAAGTTTGATAAAGAATGTGAAAATAGAATATGAGAGTTAAATTGTGAAGAGTGTAAAAACCATTACCACTTTTATAAATATGTAAAGAGAAAAAGATTACTGAAGACAAGTGTCAGAAGTTGGGGAAATGATAATGGGGAACAAAGAAATAAAAGAATTGAACCCATACTTTAGTTCTGTCATCACAGAAGGCAGCACCTCCGAAATGTTAGGGAACCAAGAATCTTGTGCGAACGGAGAATTGAAGGAAATCAGGGTGAGTAAGAAAACAGTGCAAAGGAAAGTAATGGGTTAAAGGCTGACCAATCAACAGGGCCTGACAATCTAAATCCCCAGAGTACTAAAGCATGTGACCCTGGCAATATTGGATGCATTTTTGGTCATTTTTCAAAATTCTACAGACTCTGGAGAAGCTCCTACAGATTGCAAGGTGGTAAATGTAACCTCACTAGTTTAAAAAAAAAAAAAAACGAGTAAGCGAGAGAAAATCGGAGAATTACAGGCCAGTTAGTCTGACATCAGTAGCGGGAAACGTGTGGGAGTCCATTCTAAAAGACGTGATTGCAGAACTTTGGAAAGCGTGAACTAAATTGGACAAAGCCAGCATGAGTTCATGAAAAGCAACTCGTGTGTGACAAATCTACGAGAGTTTTTTGAGGATGTAACTAGTAGAATGGATAAGGGAGAACCAGTGGGTGAGATGTATTTGGATTTTCAGAAAGCTTTTGATAAGATCCCTCATGAATGGGTGGTTAGTGGGCAGAATTAAAGCACATATGATGGGGTGGGAAGTAATATTGTTGAGAATTGGGTGACAGAAAGGAAACAGAGTGGGAATAAATGGGTCAGTTTTCTGGTGGCTGAAAGTGATTAACGGTGATCCACAGGGACTAGTGATTGAGTCCCAGCTATTCAGCTTTTATATAAATGATCTGGATAAGGGAACCAAATGCAACATTTCTAAAACAAAAACAGAAATTGCTGGAGAAAGTCAGCAAGTCTGGCAGCATCTGTGGAAGAGACAAACAGAGTTAATATTTTGGGCGCAGTGACCCTTCTTCAGAACATTTCTAAGTTTGCTTATGAGACAGAACTTACGAGTTGTGAGGAGAATGCAAAGGGGGCTTCAACTTAGACAAGCTGAGTGAGTGGGCAAACTCATGGCAGATACACTCCAGTGTAGCTAAATATGGTGTTATACATCTTGGTGTAAAAAACAGAGGCAGAACGTTATTTATTGGGAAATGTAGATATACAGAAGGTTCTGGGTGTCCTTGTACAATAGTCAATGAAAGTAGACAGGCATGTGCAACAAGCACAAAAAGTTGCTGGAAAAGCTCAGCAGGTCTGGCAGCATCTGTGAAGAAAAAATCAGAGTTAACGTTTCGGGTCCGGTGACCCTTCCTCAGAACTGGTAAAATCCACATTTAGGCCAAAATCTCCCCACCCCCGGCCTCATCCCCTGTCCAACCCTCCCTCTCGTCCCCACCTCCTTGACGTGACACAACCTGTCCATCTTCTCTCCCACCTATCCGCTCCTCCCACCTCACTGACCAATCCCCACCACTCACTACCTGCACTCACCTATCACCGTCCCACCTACCTTCCCCAGCCACACCCCTCCTCTATGTATTTATTTTTGAGCTCCCCGCCCCTCCCCATTTCTGAAGAAGGGTCCCGACTCAAAACGTCAACTTGCCCGCTCCTCAGATGCTGCCTGGCCTGCTGTGTTCCTCCAGCTCCACACTGTGTTATCTCTGGTATATTGGAATTCATTACAAGAGGATTTGAGTTCCAAAGTCTTACAGCAATTAAACAGGGCCTTGGTGAGACCACATCTGGAATAATGCATGTAGTTTTGTTCATCCTCCTTAAGATGTACTTGGCATAGCGGGACTGCAGCAGAGGTTCGCTAGGCTGATACTGGCAATGGGCAAGACTGTCCTATGAGGAGAGATTAGCTTGAATGGGCTTGTATTCTTCTTTGTTTGTGAAGGTTAGTGGGTTGTTGGGGAATGGAAATACTGAATCACTGATCCTGCAGTAACTGTTCATAATAAGACTTAGTTTGAGTTAAATCTGAAAGGCCCAATGATCGTAGAATCATAAAGCAAACAGGAGGCCATTCCACCCATAGTGCCTGTGCTTAATCTTTACAAAAGCTGTCCCTTTGGTTCCATTGCCCTGCCGTTGTCCCATAGCCTTGTAAATCTTTCTGCTTTTGCGTATATATTCATTTTCTGCTGGCAAGTTACTACCAAATCCTTCAATATTCTGCCAGGCAGTTCATTCCAACTTGCATACAAAAACTGCGTTTGGAAAAAAAAACTCTCTCGTCGCCCCTCTGATTATTTTGACGAGTAGCTTGGATCTCTGTCTCCTGTTCCCTGATTCTTCTGCCAGTGGAACATTCTTTGTTAACTGTCCTATTGAAAACCCTGATACTTCTGCAGGTTGCCCCTTTGCCTTCTCTGCAGTAAAGAGACCAATCCGTTTATGTACTATCTCTACATAACATGAGGAAGTGCAGAATGGCATTGATAACAAAGTAGCACAGATTGTTACAAGACATAGGAGTAGAAGTAGGCCATTCAGCCCATCAAGTCTGCTCTGCTGTTCAGTGAGGTCATGGCTGATCTGATCATCTTCGACGTCACTTCCCTGCCTTTCCCCAATAACCCTTGATTCCCTTTCTGACCAAAAATCTGTCTGTCTCCGTCTTGAATATACTGAATGACCCAACCCCTACAGCCCTCTGCAGTAAAGGATTCACTACACTCCGAGAGACAAAATTCCTCTTCATCTCTGTTAAATGTGTAACGCCATATTCTGAGATTATGCCCTCTGGTCCTAAACTCTCAAACAAGGGGAAACACCCTTCCTGTTAAGTCTCTAAGAATCTTGTATGTTTCAATAATGTTGCTTCTCCTTGTATATTTCATTGAGTACAGGCTCAACCTACTCCACCTCTCTGCAAAGGACAGTCCCTCCACACCTGGGATCAGCCTAGTGAACCTTCTGTGGACTGCCTCCAACGCCAGTATGGCCTTTCTTAGATAAGGGAACCAAACTGTACAGTGTTTCTGCTGTAGTCTGACTAGTGTTTTGTATAGTTGAAGCTACACCCTTTATTTCACTGTAAGGTATATAAAAGTAACTGGAACAGATGAAATATCTGGCCCTGCCTCACCAAGTGCTTGCTGAGTTAGCCTACAAGAAGGAACAAGTGTGAAAGGTGCAAATATCTATTTCAGAAGAAAAAGGGACACTATTATGACGCCTCCATGACGTTGTGTATAGATAGGTACTGTACATGAACTTAAATAGTACTTTTATTATAATCAAATGTTCCAAGCATTTCCAGAACTGTTTAAAAACAAGCTGCATATGACAAAAGATGGCCAAAGGAGTAGGTTTTATGGAATGTCTTACTGAGGATAGAAAGGAAGAGAGACTTGGTGTGGGTGTTCCAGAACTTGGAGCCTCAGCTCCTGAAAAGGAACTGATTGATTACTTATGATTGAAATCAGGGATGCTCACGAGGCCAGAGTTAGATAAGTGCAAATAATGCAAAGGTTCATTGGGCCGGAGGAGATCATAGGTAAGAAATATCCCACGTTTGGAAAAACTTGAAAGCAAGGCTGAGCCTTTTTTTTAAAATTTGAGGCATTGTTTGAACGGGAAGCAGTGGAGGTGAGCAAGGCACAGGATGATGGGTAAATAGGACTTGGTGAGATTGAGACCACAAACAGTAGAGTTTTAGTTGACATGAAGCTTAGGGGGTTGACTGTGGGAGACCATCCAAGATTATCTTGGATTAATTAAATTTAGAGGCTTTTGGAAAAAAAAGGGTGAGATTAGTATGTTAGGAAGCAGAGGAGGAATTAGCCAAGATACCAATAACTCGTCTTCGTGACATCATAGTGATGCGTCAGCTGGTCACCTTGAGATCAAACGTGGCACCGGAGTGACAACAGTCTGATTCAGCCTCAAATTATTACCCTGCAGAGGAATGGTGTCAGGAGCTAGGGAATAGAGTTTCCAGCAGGTCCAAAGCCAATGGCTTTGGCCTTCCCAATATTTAGTCGGAAATGTTTCCTCATACAGTACTAGATGTCAGTCAAGCATTCTGCTAATTTAAAACAGTGAAAGAGTTGATAGACATGATGATGAGGCAGGTCTGGGTGCTGTCATTGTACACTTGGAAACTCTACTGTGTTCTTAGATGATATCTCTGAGGGACAGCACACAGATGAGAAATTGTAAGGGGCTCAAGGAGAGCAGTTGGGGGATACCAGCAATAGTGGTGCAGGAACAAGAAGACAAGCTGTTGCAAGCAATGCACTGATCACAGTAAAACCAGAGAAGAATGGAACTTGTGGGTGCCATTTTGTTTTGATTAATTCATGGGACATGGGCATCACTGACTGGGTCAGCATTTACTGTCAGTCTCTAGTTGCCCATGAGGAGGCGGTGATGAGCTGTCATCTTGAACTGCTACAGCCTATTTGGTGTACGTGAACCCACACAGCTGTTGGGATGTGAACATTTAGATATGTGGCAATTAAAAGGAGGTGCTGCTCCGAAAGCGCACAATCTGTACATCTTTAGGAACGTATCTCAACCAGCCAGCTGCTACTGACCTATATAATGTTGCCGTGTGTAATTACAGGTCGACGCCTTGATGCATTCTTTGATTGAGCTTCGAAAGCAGGATCCCACCGTCAAGAGTTTAGTAGTCTCTCAGTTCACAGCTTTTCTTACTCTTATAGAAACTCCACTCCGGTAGGTACAGACCCACGTATGTTCCATGTTTATTTTCTCCTTGTGTTTCCTTGAATTGAAGCTGCTGGTATTGGGAAGTCAGGTGGCCTAGCACTGAAGGATAGATTCCCTAGTTACTCAGTAATCATGAATACTGCAGTTTTAATAAATGAAAGTGTTGGAAGAGATGCTAACACTTACGGAAAGGCAGGTGAATAGCCCATTGCAGCTCAATGAGAAGTAAAAATCCCAAACAGTAAATGGCATGGCACCCGGAATGAATAGGTGGGGCAAGTGAAATTGTCAGTTTCTAGTTGCCCATGAGGGGGCGGTGATGAGCTGTCATCTTGAACTGCTGAAGCCTATTTGGTGTAAGTGAACCCACAAAGCTGTTGGGATATGAACGTTCAGATATGTGGCAGTTAAAATGCCTTGCCCAGCAACAATGTCTTGGTGATTGTTTTATGAGCAGCTTCGTTCTTCATGTAGGGCTGTGTTCTTAAGCATGCCACATGTCAAAACCAACTGGGATAATCACTGTACATTCTTGTTGCCTTTGGCTCCATTTCAGGAAGTTTAGTTGGGTGCTGAGCCATGTACAGTAGAGGTTTGTGTCTTGCTTAAACATTTCTGAAGACTTCAGTGACTCTACAAATCGGAGCCCAGATTGGTGCCTGGTTTTATGGATAAACTTCTCAGATTAGTGCTTCCCAACTGTTTTCTTTCCCGTTGTGACCTCAGTTTAAGGTTTGGAAATGGGCTCTACCCAAGGGTGGGGGGGGATCGTGGGCAGGGGGTGGGAGAAAGGTGGGAAGGGGGAGAGGGGCAAGTAATGACCTGTGAGAGTGGAGCATAGAGCTGGTTGGGGAGGGGGCTGTTTCGACACAAGGGTCTTCAAGCAAAGAACACGTACATTGTAACTGGGAGTTTCACATTGTAGCAATCAGAGGGATGCCTGCTTTGAGCGGAGGGGGGAATGAAAGGTGTTAGAAGGGAAGGGATGTTGCTTTGAAAGGAGGGGGGGAAGGGTTGGGAGAAAAGGGAGAATGGATTAGTAGGGGAGGGAGAGGTAGTAGGTAGGGGCATGTAGGGGAGGGAGAGG